GCCATCAGCCGACGCAAGAGCAGCCGGTGCCGGTGCGGATGTCACTCCTTACCTATTTTGTCATTATTCTGTATTTACACACAGAGTGGCTAGTTAGGATTTGGAAAAGGCTCAATATTTTTGTTTTCTTACTTGCTATTTTGCCTACTGGAAAGAATCAACATCAGCATTCTGTACCATGTTCAAGTCTGCTGTAAATAAATGCAGCTTCCTTTCAGTCACTGACATGGTGAATCCTTACATCAGGGCTCAACGTGTCTATTTTTAGCTCTGCTGCCTTACCTAGTCACTTCTGTTTGTTTTAATAAGATTTGTATTTACTCGTGTTAAAAGGGTATTTGAATTAGATACTAATAAAATCCCAGTTAGAACTAGATAAGCAGTTTTCTCCGAGGTTTGTTTTATTACGGAGTTCCTCATTAATTCTGTTTTATTGTTATGATCCTGTGCTCTGGGTGAGTTGACGCCCTGGTGAAGAAGGAGATAAGGCGTTAGGAAAGCAGAGGTGACCTGGCCGAGCACGGGGCAGGGAAATCACAAGCAGCTGTAAAAAGAGAAGGCAGCTCTGACCCCTGCACGTGGAAAGGGCAGCCTTTCTGTATTAACACTCTAAGCGTTCTACCTTGCTTTTTTTTTTTTTTAAAAAAAAACTACTTTGCTAACAAACAGGTGGCTTTTAAATACAATTTGTAGTGGCAGAGCAGTGCCCAGCTCTGTCGGTGTGAGTGGTGCTGTGCTAGTGAGGCTGTTCTGGGGGGGCTTCAGGTGGGACCTCACTCGTGCCAGGGTGGGTAGGGCTGACGGGCACCGGCCGTGCTGCAGAGCCCAGCGATGGGTTTTCATCAAACCAGGGTGACAGTGGAGGTGTGGATACAAAACCCCGTGGCTCGCATAGCCTGGGAGGAGCTCTGGGCTCTGTGGGTGGGCACCTCGCCACAGGCACCTGCAGGGCACGCGACGTGGGCAGCGTGGAAACCTTGCGTGGAGGTGGGAAGTGGCGCGGCGGGCTCGCTTTGGAGGAATAGAACAGCGCGACCCACAGCCCGTTGAGAGGTGGTGTCAGCG